ATACAGTCTTGCTGTTGACTACATATTGCTGATTGAGTTAATCGTCGATTAAGTTAATCGGCGTTGGTAACAGTCGCCCTAAGTCCAGATCCTCATACGGGCAACAACGCAATGACACCGAACGCTGATTGATGAAAAGTCGATTGTGAGAATAAAGTTTACCTCTATTACCCGTTTTTCATTAATCAGCGGCGCGTTCGGTGTCAAAGCGCTGTTGCCCGTGTATCCGGGAATATTCGTATGATAATTAAAGGATGACTTCTTTGGATATCTTTTATAGTCATCTTTAATACTTCTTTTAATTTTTATATTTTGATTATACAATATAACGGTTAATAACATCGAATTCCTAAATTAATTTTTATACAAAACGAAATACAATAAACTGACAATAATAATTAAAACATGACTGACAATATACGTCCCATTTCTTCCAATGTTTGTCGTGTCCTATGTGCAAGAGTTATTATCTTTCATCATATAGTCTTCCTTGGGGATTCGATTACAAAAAATTATTTTATTAGAGTTCATTAGAACACGAGTAAAATTTTTTATTATTCTGCACCTTTTATTCTGTCCTGTACGATTTTCAAATACGAGAAATAGAACTCCATCACATTCATCCCTGATGAAAATAAAAATCGGAGCATAAATCGGATGTAATTGGAGAGTAACAGAAACGTAAACGAAACTCCTAGAAGGAAAAAAAAATTGGAACATTGAAATGTAAAAGAAGCATTTACGCTTCTTTTACATTTTAATGTTTCAATTTTTACCTCGTAGAAGTTTCGTTTATGTTTCTGTTACGCTCCCATTACATTCAACTTACGCTGTGATTTTTATTTTCATCAGGGATCTGGTGGCGATTTCGCATATTGCTCGCGAATGAGTGATAAAAAGTATCAAAATAACGGAAAGATATCTTTTTCATGTTGTCTTTTCGACAATACAAAAAGATATCTTTTAGTCGACCTTTTGCTTTGCGAAAATGACAACCATAGAAAGATGACGAAAAGATGTCCTTTTTAAGTTGTATTTTCGACAAAACCAAAATATGTTTTATAGACATCTTTTGGTCTTACTGAAAAGACAATCTAAAAACAATGTCTTTTCGTCATCCTTTAGACACTTTTTCGCTTTGTTGAGAAAACAACTTAAAAAAGACTTCTTTTCGTATTATCTTTTAGTATTTTGTGCTGTAGTACTTCTGGGAAGTATCTTGAAGTACGATAATCTTCACGAGGTATGGCACAATTATGTTTGTAATATTACTTGCTGACCTTGAATAAGTTAATGGTCTTGATTTTTTATAACAACATATGTAGCAATACACGCGTACGTGAATAGCAAAAATATCTTTATACTTTATTACTTTGTAATGAAATACGTTAAGTAACCACGTACACGTAAAACATATATTATAAAAAGTGGATTAGTTCAAAAATAGTATAAGTTCAAAACTATAAAAAACAGCATTGCTGTTTCTAGAAAATAAAATAATAATCGTATTATTTAAATCAGAATTACTGCTTTTCGAGTAAATAGATGCTTTGGGATTGCTTCTTCAATGACTTATTATATAAATTTTTACATTTAATCAAGTATTGTCAATAAATCGCCACTGGGAGACATACATATTTTACTCATCGTTAAAATATATACAATAATTAAAAATTAACATCTCAATTTGATATAGCTACGAAATTTTAATAGTCTATAGTATTCGAAATATTTTCTTAAATACTTTTTTTTTACTAACTTCGATTTTACTAACGATTTGTTGTATGCTTTGGAAACTGAGATACAGCTTAAGATGTTTATTAATAAAGGAAAATAAAGTAATATTTATTAACATTTAATAGTATTTAATTTCAAATTTTAATTATAAACAAATGTTCGAATTATCGCCCACTTGATTCAATACACGCTTGGATGCATCGGATTATGAATTATCGCACTCTTTCAAAGATCCCGAGATAGTTGCGAGTACAAAAGATGCGCTGGCGTAGTTTATCTTTATTGGCCATTAGAACTTCATAAATCAAGATCCTAAAATGTCCGTAGCATTCACCTGAAATATTTATCCATTAAAAACGATATATTATAAAAATTATTCTTGATTTTTCTAATATTTAATATTTAATAAATGTATTTTTGGAGAACTTACAATGTGTTCAAGCATCTGTAAAAAAAAAATAATTCCATTTATATTATAAATAAAACGTATACGCAAGATATTTCCGATTAATAATTTTAAAAAATATGAGATGAAGAGACAGAGAAAATTTTCCACATATTGCTAAATCCAAAAAACGCATTTTAACTACAACACTATAGAGGTTTAACTACAAAAATTGCTTATATACAATTGCTTACTCATGAATTGTTTAATTTTGAAATTAAGACACATTGAATATTAATTTAATCCTTAAATAACCTAATCATATTACGTTTACTCAAATATTTAGTTACCTTGTATATACATATATATATATATATATATATATATATA